TATATATATATGTATGTATGTATGTATGTATATATATATGTATGTATGTATATGTGTATATATATATGTGTGTGTGTGTGTGTGTGTGTGTGTGTGTGTGTATATATATATATATACAGACTTGCAATATTCTAAACAATGATTCTAAACTAAATGCTCAGCATGTCTTGAAATCATCTCTCTGCCTCTGGCTGTTTTCTGCCAGCGCCTTTTGCCACGCTCACTTCTCCGCTGCAGAATGGAGATATGACACGCTGCAGGAGGAAGTTTCTCCTGTTGTGGGCTGCACAAAGGTGCAGCAGGTGCTAAATAATTTAGAATAATTTATTTTAAATAAAAATTCAATGCCGATCGTGCGGCTCATCCATCAATCAACCAATTGTGTGTCATGTCCAGTCTTACTTTGAAAAACCGCGAAGTAGCGAGGGACTACTGTATAGCATTTAGTTCTGAGTTTAATTAAAGCAATGTCCCTTAGTTTTTATTCTTGTTTTAAAACTATCTTTCATTGATATTTTACTGTTTCAATGTTATGACCACAAATTTGTTTTATTTTGTCTGTGGTTTTAGTAGAAATAGATACAGATTCAGAATCGGCAGAAATCTGGAGCAACAGGCAGCCAACAGACGAGGAGGTTCATGCAGCAACTATTCTGCAGGCTGGATTCAAAGGGTCTATGGTGCGAGAGATCCTTAATGCTTCAAAACCTGGTAAACATACAACATATGTAGCATGTGTTATTTCAAGAAGCTTTAATCGAATATATGATATGAATAGTAACAGTACTCAATTTGACTTAAGAAGTTCTACTTCTCTCTTTGTTTCATCTGCTCATGATTTAGCATCTGAAAGCATTTATCATGTACAGAAAATGCTTTCTGCTTCTTGTTTGATTGGGATATTTAATCAAGACACATAATTATTGATTATTATATTGAGCTTCAGAGCAGAAGCATAAGTACTGATGAGACACCCACTCTAATGCACCATAAAAAAATGAAAGGTGGTCTTAAAGATGATAAACAGCTAAAGAAAAAGCATGATTGCTTTTATGCACATGACGTTTCTGCGTCTTCAAGCAAACCTTTCATTTGGGACAGGATAAAAATAGAGAGATCGCTGATGCAATGGATAGATTACAGAAAATATATAACAACTGAATTACAACATGAAGCTAAGTATTTTTTTTTTAAATGTAAATCTATTCATACATTTTTTCTTAAAAATATGTATGAAGGTGCATCCTGCTGCAGTTAGTTCCTGAGGAAACACAGTGTGTGACATTCCTATTTATTCCTGTCGCCTGAGGCTAGCTGTGGCAACTCCAGGCACAACACAAGATAGTGTCAAAACAAAACACCAGTTGTATTTTTGAGATGTTGCCTCTTTTTAAATTTCAACAAGGCATGAGCATTTTACAGAACGCATCTGCTTTCGTTACTGCTAGTGTGTATATGCGCTGTTAGCAAGAGGTGATCCGACCTACACACTCATTCGTGAATCTATAAAAAGGTTGTCAGAGTTATTTTCCACAGTTTCAAGTTATTGACTTCTCAAAGCACTAAGTGCACCTTACAGAGTGGCGCTTACATTAATAGCAGGAAAACACTTGTAGATTAGAAACAACATCTTCATAGTTCCTATTTAAAATACTGGTAGCTAAAAATAGAAAAGAAAAATCAAGATTTAAAACTCAAATGGGTAATTGTAGAAAACATGGCATGGCTTGGAAAATCAAAAGCACAAGGAGTCAAGGATTTTTATTGTCATTCACATCACATGTGGTACATGAGGTGGAACAAAACTGTGTACATAGGGTCCCAGTTACATTCAACAAAAATACAAATTGTAAAAAACCCCAAAAAAGCAGTAGTAAGATCTAAGACATGAACTAAGAATATACTACATTTACTAAACTAAGAATACACTAAGCACTAATAGTACAAAAACAATGCGCCAAAAACAACAGCAGCACTAACGTGAGTCTGTGTGAGCAGATGAGGATGGATGAACACAGCAACATGAAATAATCTGCAGCATGAGATCAGCATCATGGATAGTACATATCCACAACCAAGTGGCATTACAGTGAGTTTTCACAAAGCATTAGAGTTGCATTCGGGCCCAAAAAAATCTGACCCGACCCGGCCCCAGCCCGTAGCCATCATTTCCGAACCCCACCAGACCCGACGAATAAACAGTAATTACAGGTCCAAAACAAGCCATGTTGCCATATAATTGGATCGCCAGCCACGCGCGTCCGCTGACACCATCAAAAGCCCGACACTGAATCATTCCGCCCATCCAGCACATTATTATGGCCCGGCCCGACCCGAATTTGGGCTAGGCTGGACTTCGGGCCCGGGTTAGAAATGACAGCTCTACAAAACACACACACACAACCAGCAATCAGAAAATAAACCATAAACCTTCACACAAAAATCAGATAAAATGAAGGTGATACTGCATGTTGCTATTAAAACATCTCACCCTGACAGCTCATGTAGAAATATATTTTTGTGTTTGGCAGCTCCATGAATTACCTTTTATTTTCTACTAGTCGTTGTGTTTCTGTATTTGTTTGTGCGCTCATGTGATCCAGGAACGGAGGAGAACCTTAGAGCTTTTGAGATCCTTTCAGACATGTGGCCAAAGATCGAATCGGATGCAGATAAACATGCTGCCGTCTTGCTACGGTAAACAATGACTGTTGTTATAATGTATGCTACTTTAATGTTCAAAATAATACCATCTTATACACCTAAGCTGTTGACCTCACGCTGCATATATTTTGTAACATAAAGGTTATTATTTGGGGGAATACGAGAGCAGTCTTACTTTGCTCCTGTATGACATGCACGTAGCCTTTCTGATGCACTGCATGCTCAGAGTCTGCTCCCTCTCCTGGTTGTGACAGCCTGTTGGGGCTACGCAGGGAGCATTTTCCACATTGTGCTCCCATCTTTTCCCAGTGGTACCATCTGCTGTTTATACTCTCCCCGTTCCAATCAGCTAGTGGCGTCTGCCGAATGACCCGCTGCCTGGGGAAGTATGTTTGCGCATGAACACTGGTCGAAAGCTCAGTCAGCGTGTGTATAGAGGGCAACGTGAGGTGTTTGTTGGGTGTTGCACATCCTTTGAGCGTCTAAACTGAGAGACATGTCCACTTCATGAGAGGCAAAGTGCATCTCCTCTCTGCCATTGAGTTATTTTATAAATAATAATAATAATTTTTAATGTGTATTTAACATCATTCGCCTTAAAAGGTGTGGAGGTTTGTTCTAAATTGGCATTAAGTAACTTGTTTTGTTTTGCTGTTTATATTATGTACATGATTTAAATTAAAATTTTAAAAATGCTGTTTGCTCTCTGTTTTCTGCTCAGGTTCATCATTAACAGTTCGAGGACGACAGACAAACTTGGCCATTGTTTACAGGATGAATGGAACAAAATCATCTTTGCTGATTACTCCGTCTCTCTCCAAGACTCACCCAGCTCCTGGGTGTTGCTCTTTAGGTTAGACATTACGCAGTTTTAAAGTTAGTCTCGTCAATAAAACACATGTCTTATCAATGTTTCTCGTTTACACATGACATACTGCAATTATCCCAAGGTGCCTTCTTATTTAAAAAAAAAGCCATTTTGTTGTTTCTCTGCAGCATTGCCTGCTTTCATTTGTGCTTGGAAACTTTTTGAATTAGAAATGTAATCTTTTAACTTAAACTTCTGACAACTGAAAGTTCATCTCTCTATGTTTTGGTTATTTGTATAGAGAGGTGTTCCTTGTTCCTACGGAGATGATGCTGATGCCCAAAGTTTACTCCTCCATCCCCAATTGTCTGCTGCATGTCATAAACAATGATACAGGAGAGGAGGTGAACGTGCTCAGACTGGCACCCTGTGTGTATCAACCCAATGAGGTCTGTAAATATGAACTGTCCTTCACATGCATTTTAGAAATGGCAGTTTTTTAAACAAATTTGTTAACTGTTATTTTATTGCACTAAATGAACGTTAAATAAAAATTGACTTACTTTTCCTGGTTTACATTAGTCTTACACACATCTAAAATTAGATGTTTTGTCTGTGTTTTTGTCACAGCGTGGTTATACTTTTGTAGCAGAGGCTTTCACTCATGAAATACCCTCTGGTGGTGCCAAGTGGAGGATGCGGTTGATCGGCACAAACGAACTTCCAAAACTGTCTCGTGAAGCTCCTCTTAATGCATTCTCTGTGACGGAAGTCCGGGATTATTACGTTCCAAATGACAAAAATGTTATATGCCGGTGAGAGAATGATCGCAACAAATAACATTTATTAAAAATCATGCGAAGACACAAGCACAGTATACATTTGATATTGTAAGAATAATAAGACCTTCTGAAACCTTTCTACAGTTGCTGTGTTCAGGTGGCCACAGACAACATGGTAACAATTCAGTTTGAAACTTCCAACCCAAATGTTATAATACGCCTGTCTGTTCTGGACCAGGAGAAAGAAGTGGCTGGCAGCACTGGGAAGGGTTCTGTCATACTTCCTGTCTTCTACTTCCTTGCCAACAAAGGTTACCAGTTCTGTAAACTTGCTAAAGTAACTCATTATTCATTATTTAAAAAAATAAAGAGTGAATAAAGGTTTTGTTTATGTGCAAAAAAAGTAGCACGTTGATTACATGTTGTTTCACAATCTTACCTCAGTTTAAGATTCAACTTAACACTTGAATGCTAATTTTAAATTTAATAAAAGAACCATTTTATCATTATCACCATTATCAGACTGTTTATTTCAAATTCAAAATCTTGTTTTAAGATTTTTTTGTTTGTTTTTGCAAAAAAAACAACAACAACTAAAAACAACTACACCAACTAGGCTGAGAATATATTATAAATTTCACAAGATCCTAGGATAAACCTTGGGACACACATTGGAGGCATTTAGGGGTTCAGCGTCTTTCCCAGGGACACTGGCACATGTAACTGCTGGTGGAATCGAACCCCCTACTCTCGTATTGGAGGATGACTGCTCTAACCATTCAGCCACAGCCACCCCATATTAGAACCTTTACAGTTCAAATTTTCATATTATACACCATAAACAGAAGCAATAGTTCATAATTTTGTGTAAAAAAAGTTGTTGTTTTTTTCTCAGCAAGACTTTAGTCTTGGCTTTTGCATCATCTATAAGATGACATTTGTTGAATCAATAAGCACAACACATAAAGTTTGTGTTTTGATATTTTCTAGAAAAGGTAAATATTGGCATGCAGCACACAATTTTTACCTATTAAGCTGACTGAACGCAAGTTATATATACAGTAAGAGGCTAAAATTGAAAAATGAGGGCATCACATCAAGAAATAAAATCCTGAGCAGCGGTCTATTCCAAAATATCAACTAAAGTGAAGATGCTTTCTGTTACAGAGCCCAGTTGCACAGAAGAGAAGAAACAGATTGAATCCTCTACCAAGGATGCACCCCAGCAAAGAAATACGGCAGAACGTACAGTTGTACAATCAGACTCCTCATCTGACCAGAACCAGACTCCCACACCAACGATGGTATCACTGGTAACACCAAACTGGTTTCACTTTCATGCACATCTCACTTTCCCTTCCTGCCTTTCTTACCCACTTGGTTGCTGTCTGTCCTTATCCTTGATCCCCACCCCCCCCTGCCAGATAAGGCCTTGATTGTAGGCACATACGCAAGAGCATAAATTAGTTTTCACCCACACACATTCACACTGAAAAATCTGAGAAAAAGAAGAGCAGCAGAATTTGTTGGGATGTTTCTTGTTGTTACTCTGTGTGGCTTATCGGTAGTTGCCATGGGGAGTAAAATGTGCAAGAATTATAGTCTGAAAACACACCTGTTTACCAGAGGTGTTGTCACAGTTCAACAAGTAGTCTGTATATTCATAGGTTTACATGCATTTAACTAAATGTGTATGTTTCAAATACCTGGTGGTGACAGTTTCGACTTAGCAGTGGATTAAGAAAATAGAAAAACCTCATTTGTAGTAACAGATCATTTTAGAAAATTATTATAAAAATACATTATTAATATAAAATTTGTATCAGTCAAGGCTTAGAGCAAAGGGTTACTTGTTAAGAGCATAGCTGTTGTTTTTTTTTTTTTTACACAGAAGCATACGATACATAGTAATGCTCATTGAAAAAGGATTAGTTGTAAACACTTGTATGTAATTGATGTTAAACATAAATATTTATAAATACTTATTTATATATTGTATATCTATAATAATTTATTTATAAGGGAGTATTGGCGTATTGTTTTTGTACTATTTGTATTTTTAGTTTTAGTGCATATCTTAGTTTATATCTTAAGATCTTACTACATTTTTTCTTTACAATTTATACTTTTGTTGGATGTAACTGGGACCGTGTACACAATTTCGTTCCACCACATGTACCACATGTAGTGCGAATGACAGTAAAGAACCTTGACTTGACTTGATAAACAGGAGAAAAAAGCATCAGTAGGTAAAGTTATTACGTGTTTTCACAGGCTGAGGAGGCTGAGGAGTGTGATTCCCCTGTAACTGTACAAACCCTCCGGTCCCCTATCTTGTAAAGGGGGCTATCACCCCAGTGGCACTGTCTCTGATGTCCTTGTAATGTTGCAAAGGTGTGTCAACTGTGACAGCCCAGCAACATCCAGGTCCTTGAAGAACTCTGCACAGATCTGGTCCATCTGTAGAGCCCTGCCACCACAGAGCTCTTTAACTACCTCTGTGACCTCAGCCTCAGTTTTGGACAGACCATCCCCAAAGCCCCCCTCACTCAACATCCTCCATGAAAGACATGCTGGTGGGACTGAGAAGGTTCTCAAAATAGTACTTCCGATTACATCACTGATTGAAGTCAACTCCACTGTACACAGTGTTGGTTCAAGTGCTGCTTTCCCTGCCTCAGCCTCCTGATGGTTTGCCAGGATCTTCTAGAGGTGATCAAGAATCTTCACCAAACATTTCACATCTAAGCTTTTGCCTCAGCAATGGGGCTGCAGCCTGCTTAGCCTGCTGATACCCGTCAGCTGCCTCTGGAGTCCTACCAAAAAACAACATTCAATAGGACTCCTTTTTTTTTTAGCTTGTAAGCATCCTTCAACCTTGCAGCCACAGCTCAGCACCGTTGGACATTCTTATGTTCTAACACGGTGTTTGTTATGGACAATTAGCACAGACGTCTAATAACAGAATACGGCTCATGTTCAGATCAGAGAGGTTGTCAGTTCAAGTATTAAAAATGTCATTTGACCAGATAGAGCTACATTTATTTATTTATTTTGCTGCATCCTATGTGTCTCCCTGTGCATCCCAATTTATTTTTTTCTTTTGGAAATGTTTTATAATTCGGTGTAAAGTTTTTCTTGCTCAACGTCATACATGTAGGTTTCATCTGTGATGTAATCTTGACTAAGAAGGCCTTTGCTTCTTGTTTTCTTTTGCTCATCAAAAAGAGCTAACATGAAATAATTTTTTAAGACTGCCCTTTCTTTCTCAAGCATCCTTGTGGTTTACACCTGTATACTCACAATAAGTTATTCATAAAATGTATCTTTATGTTTATGTGGTTGTATTATACATTCATGTATAGATCTTTTTGTACTGTGCATTCGTTGACTATATTTTTAAGTGTGCTTATTGTGTGATATAAACGTACTTAATTGTGTTTTACAGGATCACAAGTATGTGGTGCAGACAGAAGTACTGTATAAAAGCTGGAATTTGGATGAACCTCAGATGACTTTTGCCCCTATTGTCGATGGCATGAAGAAGAATGAAGTGACAGGTGAATACTGTACACAAGACATCATGCCACATCAAACTGTCAGACATTTTTAGTCTTTTAAACCTAGTCACTGCCAAAGAAATATCATGATCTGAGCATGTTAGTCTAAATTAAAGATGATTTAGGTTGCCTTAAATACATACATATCTGCCCTTTGCATTTAATAATAGTCAGCATTTGAGCCTTATGTTGTAATTTTCCTAATATGCTAGTTCTTGTATGTTTCATTTATTTGTTTATTTTTTGCTGTCTAATTTGAATGTGTGTAATACTCAGGAAGCCATGTGAGAGGCTCAGTTCATCATCTGTTTGTGATAGCCAGAGGCTTGTAATCACCAGCCTAATAAAAGCCAAATGAATACAGCTGCTTTTACAGATCAGAGTGTAATTTCCCTTTGCCACTAGTCACTGGCTGTGGCAGTAATCCTGTCCTCTGTCACCCTCTATGCACTTTCACTTTAATCATGCTGCACTAACGATATCAATTGAAACGTCGTAGCTTTATTTTTTTTTCTTTAAGCGTAATAACTATATGAAGGGGCTGAATGAAAAACTGCAGGGGTGAATGATGCTTTGATTTAACAGAGACACTGCATAGGGAGCAGTTTGCATGACTGCCTGGAGAGAGAGGCCAGTCTGCTGTCATTGGATTCTCACACTCTTTTGTTCCTCCGGACAACTGTGCCAGGATTTATACATCCAGTTTGCATGCCATGAAACGTACCGATTAGTCATGAGCAAGATGAACACTGAGGATTAGTTGCTGCCCTAGAAATACTATCCATCTTACATTTGCAATGTGATATTCCTAGTGTGATATTCTTGTTTGGAAATGTTATTATGAAAGGGTCAGTGTTCACACCCAATTCCTTTTAGTTCCAAATAATTTGGTAAAAATGGGTCAACGGGATGTCAAATGAAGTTGGCTCTTGCCCCCTTGGCGCCCAGGGAAATCTGCTGCCAGAAGAGTGAATTCATTTCACCCACATTAATACTGTCTCAGTGGTGGGACTGTGGCCTTCATCATGCTCCCTACATGCAACACAGATTCACATGTAGCCAAGATTTGAAATCTGTTTTACAAGCTGTTTAACAAACTACAAACAAAATACTCCACAGCACATGTGTTTAATAAAAGCACATCCCAGTTTCAGCTGCAGCTCTTTATACAACGTGTGGCAGTAATGTTAATGCCCTTGAGCACAACCTTGGCAATTTTACTTTATTTGTGACTAAACTTTAGTTTGAAGCCTTTTACTAAAAGAAACAGCTTTTTAAAATATATTTTATTTATGTTTGGCAGCCTTTCCAGCTCTTAACTCTAAATTACAAAAGTACAGATTGATGTTTAGATACAGCTTGGACATATTTCTGTATATCTTATCAGAGTAACTCAATAAGTATCTACTGAAGAGCTTCAAGAGATTGACAGGGAGATTATCTTGTCCTATTGTTGAAGTAACTCACTTCATCTGAGCTGGGAAATTAGTTTCAGCTTTAAAGTGCAACAGTGCCATCTAGCACACAAGTCCGTGCACAACACCTAGATCTGTTTCTTCTCAACGACATGGGAGCTTTAGTTGTATGAAGTAGAATATACAAACTTGCTTTTCATTTACTTATTTTTAGCAATGAACAAAGTGCGTATTACAAATGAAGTACGTTATTGTTGATTTTCCCTAAGCAAAAAAATATATATAGATGAAAAATAATAATTTTTCTCTGTTGGAGAAAAAAACAATTATTCACAAGAAGAACCGCTCAGTAAGAAAAAAAAAAAAGATAATAATAATAATATGAAAATGTTTACATTTGTTTTAAATAAAAAAAATAAAAAAATAAAAACTGTTCTAGATTTTTTTTATTCAAAAGTGATGACTGACTTGTTTAAAACAATAAAACTGCAAACAAACAGACAAACAAGCAAACAAAAACATTAAGCTTGTATCGCTGACGTGATTTCCTGCCTCATGTCAGTGTCAGAGTTTCTTTATTGTCATTCGCACCTCATGTGGTACATGTGGTGGAGCGAAATTATGTACACAGGGTCCCAGTTACATCCAACAATAAAATGTATAAGAAAAACAGTAATGACATCTAAGATATGAACTAAGAAAAACATCAACTAAATATACACTAAGCACTCATAACATAAAAACATTGAAAATCAACACAAACAAGAACATGAGTCTGTGAGCAGATGTGCACGCATGAACACATCAACATTGAAACAGATCAGCAGCAACATGAAACAGATCAGCAGCAACATGATATGGTTTTTCACAGTGATTATTCTAGTTAGAGATTCATGAGTCTAACAGCCTCAGGGTAGAAGCTGTTCCTCAGTCTAGTGGTTCTACATTTAATGCTCCTTAACCGCCTTCCTGAGGGGAGTGGGGCAAAAAGTGTGTGTGCTGGGTGAGTGGGGTCCTTCATGATGCAGGTGGCCCTCTTCCTGCATCTGGAGCTGTAGATGTCTGTGATGGTGGGGAGGCTGATTCCGACAGATTTCTGTGCAGCCTTCACCACTCTCTGCAAAGCTTTTCTTTCTGCAGCTGTGCAGCCTCCATGCCACACGTTGATGCTCGAGCACAGGATGCTCTCCACAGTGTGCAGTGAAAACAAAAAGAAACTCAAGATACAGTGCTTGTAAAACCTGTTTCACTTTGTTACATGCACCCCCCCACACACACACACACACTATAGTTTAAACAAAGTCATATTTTCTTGTAATACATGAAACTCTTTTGCATTTTTTCATCCATCCATCCATTATCTTTACCCGCTTCTTCCTTTTCGGGTCGCTGGGGGGTCACTGGTGCCCATGTCCAGTCATCAAGAGGCGGTTACACCATGGACAAGTCTCCAGTCCATCACAGAGACAAACGAGACAACCATTCCCTCTCTCACTCACACCTATAGGGACAATTTAGAGTTACCAATCAGCCTAGCATGCATGTTTTTGGTCTGTGGGAGGAAACCGGAGCACCAAACCCATGCATACACAGAGAGAACATGCAAACTCCACTCAGAAAGACTCCGGCCGGGATTTGAAACCGGGTGACCTGCACGCTGAGAGGCGGCAGCTCTACCAACCTCACCACCGTGCTGCCCTACTGCACTTTTTTCCTTTTTCCATTTCTACCAGTAATATTGCAAATCTTTACATTATTTTACACTACCTATATTTATTACAGTGTGTCAGACTTTTTAGAAATTGAGTTGAAGGAAATATATCTGATGATTTTTGCTTTATCAGAACTTGCATGAAATGTCCATTTTTTAAATACTCAGAACATTACTTCGATTACCATCCAAAATGTCTTCTTACTGTCTGCCCCCATTGTAGTGTCTTCCTCTGCAACTAACACATTAAACAAGTGGAAACAATATGGAAACAAGTCTGACACACACAAAACCAACAGAAAAGGAGAAAGTGACAAAGAGAAGGGAAGGACATCTGCCACCTCCAAATCTGGTCCCAGGCAGGAAATGGTAAGGAATGATGCCAACAATGTGACAGACAACGGTAAACCACTACAACACTGTCAGTTGTTTGTCAGAAGTACTCTTATGTTTGTACATCTTTTTAAATGTAAGCAGAGAGATTACTTTTTGTGTCAACTAAGCAAAAGTTTAAAAATGGTTACTTTATTTTACCTATTTGCTACACACATTTCTTAATATTGACTAGATTATCTTGTGTAATTGCACTATAAAGTATCATAATGCCATCTATGAGATTTTATCAAGGTCACATGGAACTAGAAGTTCATCATATCCTCACCTGAAAGCAGTTCAGTGTTTATGTAATCTAAAATGGTAGTGGCAGTACCCTTGGTTGAGACTAGGTGTCACTTTTCATGTGAGTCTATGAAAATGTATGTTTATAAGAAAACTAGTCACTGAGGGTTCAGTGTGAATCTTAATTCTTTACTCCTCTTTGTAATGTTTGTCGTTTTATCAGACATGTCTCCATTTATACATTTACTTGGCTCTGCTTTTAGCTGAATTTGATGCGGAGATAAAGAATCAAATCTGCTAGGCTGACCTAATTATGTGATTTTACAAGAAACACTTCCACCCTCACACACTATAATCTTGTAATTTTGTGAATAATGGTATTGGTTTAATAAACTGAGCCAGTGCCGCTTGACTGATCTGATCCACGTTAAGTGCCTTTTATAACAGTCACGCTACACATCTACTGTGACATTTGCAAAGACGGCTTTTAAAAATACTGGTTACCTTCAATTTTTATATGAAATATGCTTTATGGTGGCAGAAAAAAATTTGATGTAGGTGAAAAAGCAAGATCTTTAAAGACAAAAAAAAGATTTTGTATTCATGACATATTAATACAGAACACTTAGACCTAAAGAATGGAACAGCTAATTGTTTGCCAAACTCAGAGGCTCATTAAAAATCTTATAAGTTGTGGAACAATGACCTTCTGTTCAGATATTTGTCCATGCGAACGTGACCTTTATTTTGTGTGGGTTTGTGCAGAGCATAGACCTGATTAAGCCCAACTGGACGCTGCGTATCGTCACTGAGAAGAGCAAAGCAGAGAGCATTGAGGTGAAGAGGGACACGGAGCGAATAGACCAGATTAAAAGCATCAAAAATGCCTGGGAAATGGTCGAGCCAGGACGGTGTGGCAAGGTATCCCAGACGAAATAAAAAGAGCAATCAATATATTTCCTATTTCCACAAGCTGAAGCAAACTGCAAACGATTAAGACATTTATAATCAAACATACAGCACACTACTGATTTATTTTGCTCTTTTTTAGGCTTTACAGTCCCGACTTCAGTTTATTAACCCAGTTAAATGTAAAGAAAACGATGGAGCTGCTTCAGGTGAAACCAAAAACACACAAACAGGTTTACGCTTCTTTGCCTTTTCTCTCTTGTCACATGCAATTCTCATTTCTGTCACAGCTCCATCCAGATCTGATCCAGATACCCATCTCAGTCCATCCATAGAAAAACTGGGTGGAACCTCCTGTTCCTCTCCTCACGCAGACTACAGTCACCTCATCAGGTTTGCTACTGGCTTTAAAACAGCCTTTTCCATTCTTTATTGTCCCCTCCCATCTGTAGTTTCTGCTGATGCTGTTGCTGGGGAAGACAGACTGGGTATAATGTTAAAAAGGTAATGAAACAAGAGCCAGCACCACTGCTGGTTTTGTGCCTCTCTGCTCAGCGTATAACAACATGCAAATACATTCTTGTGGTGAAAGGTCAACAACTAAATATAATCCAGAATTGTTAAAAAAAATATATATATCTCATGAATAGACAGTATAATTATTTTCTTTGCCTTCTTTTCTGATATTTTCTAATTTAAAAGGGCAAAGTGTTTTAGAAGGCAAGCATAGTACTAACTTTAGAATGATACCGCACATATTAACACAAGGTAAGGCTGGCGTATTTATGCTGGCAAAGCTGACAAGACTAAATATGGTTTCAAACTACAGTTATGAGTTCCTCAACATGAAGATGACTCTGTCTTTAGCTTAGTTTTGAAATAACTTTAAAATCAATGCACATTTTTAGGGTCAAACATGCTCCTGACCTTCTGTTTGTGTAAACTGCGTGCCAACATTAAACTTTGTCAAATTTTAGAAGGAACGGTCTTCCTCCACAGTTCCACCTGCTTCTCCGGTCTCCCTCATGCCATCTCACATTCCCTCCCTCCATCTCTCCCCCTGTCCATCTCTTTCCAGGATAAATGAAGTGAGATTTGGTTCTGTTAATTAGAGAGCTATTTCAAGGCCCCATTGAGCTGGTTGTTCCAATGAGATGTGGCCCCTTCCCATCACCTCTTCATCCTCTCCTATTGTGTGAATGTGTGTGAGGTCTCACACGTGTGTTTATGTCAAGCTCCTAATGATTGACGTCACTGCGGCCCGCAATTTGAACATAATCAGAGATCCTCAGGAGTAGTCTATTAGAGCTATTGGATTAGTCTGGATTGTACTTCTTTCTCAAAAGGGCCCCTTTCTACAAATATATCCATAATTGTATACACACACACTTACACATACTGATGCTGTCTTTACATCTTTTGTCCACACCTTTACATGTGGTCACAGAGGATGAATGTGGGCAGTGCTCATTAACCAAATGAACTCCATCATCACCTTCACTGACCTTACTCTTCATCAGTGTCAGCTAATAGGAAGCAATCAATGACATTTAGTATTTAGACTGTCAGCTCTTCAGCATGTACACTTCACAAGGTGTTCCCAGACTTTTTTTCTATAAAGCACATACAGTATCCAGGACTTCACACTTATTTCTTTATTCAGTGAATGGGGATCTATAAGTTTACTAATGTAGCCTCACCACACATCCCCCTGCAAAGAAGAAGACATGGACTTTCCCTGTCTTTGCTGCACTTTGTAACAATCATTTCTAGGCCTGTCACAATAACAAATTTCGCTGGGCAATTAACTGTCTCAGAAATTATTCTGATAAACAATAATATTGTTTAAGAAGAAATGAGTTTGTTTGTTAATTTGTTTTGCATGTAGTACCTTTTTTCGACCACTGGATGGCAGTATAAGACTGTTTGAACCGGAGGATGGATAGTGAGCAGTGTCTCTTTAAGAAAAATGGGAGGGAAGCCCCTTGACGTGACATGGGCTGTCTCTTTTTGGTTCTCATAATAGCAGACTCTAGGTGTGGTTTGAGCTCGTTATAACTTTTCATACAAAGCTTTTAATAAAAAAATCAGTAAATACGTTCTCATCTTCTTTTTGCAGAGAAAAGCAACTTTTTACACAAGGCACGGGTTTCAACCGTGAATTTTGGAGCTTCGACAAGACGGAGGTTTTTTTCCTGAGGTCGGCCTGTTAGCTTAGCTTGTAGCTTAGCTTCTCAGCTTAGCTGCTTTTAACGATCCAAAAACACAATTTTGGATCGTTAAAATGGATTTTAAAGAGAAAAGAGAAAGGGAGGGGTCAATGAAGAGCACTGGAGTTGAGCCTTTTGTCATCCAGTGTCTTCAGTACAAAGAGAGAGACACAAAGAAACGATAAAGCCGATAAATGAAAATGAGGTCGAATATTTTCATTTATCATGCGATTAATTGATTTATTGTTTATCGTGACAGGCCTAATCATTTCTAATACTTAGGTACTTCAGCTGCATATGTTTGAAATGCAAAGAGATTGAGAAATGGGATCTACATTATTGAAAGTTAGACGCATATGGTTGTATCTAATTGTGTTAATTTTTGTTCTCATCAATATTAGAAACACGTCATTTGCAAAAGAAAGGCTGCAGCCTGTGACTGCATGAGCAAGCTCTTGGTTCCCAGGCTTCCACTTATTTAGCATCATACTTCCATGTATTCAGTTCATCACAGTGCAAACATATCTGCACAGCCTCACCTTCAGTCGGGATTGGACTCTTATGGTTATACACAGTCTTTGTCAGTTTTGTACTACATTTAAGAAATGTAGTTAACGAAATTGCTTTACTGAGATGAACAAAGTGTTAAACTACAACAGTAAAAATGAATCAAATACATGTATAAGAGAATAAAAAACAAAAAACAAATAAAAGCTAAGCTAAAGTACAGAAACACAACTTAAACCCATCAGTATGAAATCTACAGTCATTCATGACCACTCCTTATGCCGTGTGACAAATAAAGCACGATCTTGTTGGCATATTATTACGTTTAACTTTTTTTTAAAATCAGATGGGAACTTATAGACAGGACAGTGGAATAATAAAATATAATAGTCTCATCCAAACTCAAATCAACTTCTCAAAGCACGACTATGAATACAAGATAAGGCATAGGAACACCTATATCAACATTTATCTTTGAATTTTTTTTTTCTGCCTATATCAAAAAAAGAGCCTGTGTCAAATCTAACTCACAATTTTTGGTTTGATAAACTATTCATCAGTGCTATACCAGATTTGATAATTTTTTTGTTTTTATCTGAGCTCTAAAATAACAACAATCATTTACTACTCACTTGTAAATTAAGATGCTACATATATACTTTGTATATATATGAAACTCTTGTCCATACATCTAGACACCAAAAGGATTTTCCAGAGTTAAAGGATGCTCACAGAGAGCAAGTCCAGCAGAGGGAGCGCTTTGAAAAGATCCAGACCTACCGGTTGGCCCGTCAAAATGTGCTGGAGCACCATGAGAAACAGATGTCTGCACAGCAGGGGTTAATGTGGCATCAGCTGGAGATGTATGAGAACATGCAGGTCAGTGAGACAGATACACGTTTTGTCTGAAGCTGTCTGTAGAAGAGAACCATAATGAGTTGTTTTGACTATCACAGTGAATTAGTCAGCTTCCTCTTCCACTGCTTAGACATCACCCCGCCACTTCTTTTTCTTTGTCTTATCTTGTAGGCCGAGTGTGAGAAATTATATGATGCTTGCAAAGCATTTAGTAACTGTCAGATGGCATCCATGAAAAATGAACAAGAGAAAGCAGCACTGGAGGAGGTCCAGCCAAAAACAACTCCCACCTCAGCTGGCGCTAAGCAGCCCAAGAAACATGCCAAGAGTGCTGGGAAGAAGAAATGATGCTCATTGGCAGCGACAGTCTCTGTTCACCTCAACAAATCTGCGTTAACACTGAAGAATCCTAAATTAATTGCAGCATTATTACTTGTACTTCATCACACAGCACTAGAACAAAACTGCAGATTTCAGAGTTGCTTCTTATCCTTCATGACATTAAACTTTAAAGACATGGTGTTTGATGTTTGTAAAAGGTTTTCTTATCAGATATGTTCTCGTGTTTCAAAAGTGTATTTAGATTGTAGTTCAAAACACATTTATTATTTATTTAATGGTCAGTTAACTTTAACTCCCACTTTTGTAGCTTTTATATTATATTAAACTCTGGAACAATCTGTCCACCACCATCAGACAGGCCTTTTCACATCCTGTTTTTAAATCTCTTTAAAAACAAATCTGTTTTCAATCACTTTTAACCCAGTGCAAGTTGTTTTAGTATTTTATGCTTTTGAGTTTTATGGGTTTTTTTTTTTTATGGTTTTGAATAAAATTTTGTTTTTTCTTTTAATTCCTGTCATTGTATTTTATTGTTCAGCACTTTGGTAACAACTGTTGTTTTTAAATGTGCTTTATAAATAAATTTGACTTGACTATATTATATTAAATTATATTATATATGAAAATATTTTATTGGTTGAAGAAGAAAAAAGAAACAACTTTTACTGGCATTGTACCATGTACAATGAAATTATGCTTGGAATCTATCCATTCTCAACATATAAGAGTAAAGTGATAGAGTACAGTTAAAAAAGAGGTACATAAAATAAAAATAAATACATAAATAGGAAGTAAAGTGTGTACAGTCTTGAAATAGCTGCTGGAGTTATAAATATATATGAATTACTGTAAGTTTGATATTTGCTGTGTGTATATATATATATATATATATATATATATATATACAATGTGTGTGTGTGTGTATATAAAGGATGTTTCTACATATATGCAGTAGTGTAGATAGAAACAGTTTTATACATTATTCAAGTTTTGTAGTTTATCACAAATTAAAATCAAAGTATTTCTTTTTTTATGTGCTAGAAGCAAGTTTGTAGACCCCATCCATCCATCCATTCATCCATCATCTTCCGCTTGTTCTGACGTCAGATCGCGGGGGCTGCAGCTTGAGCAGGGAGGCTCAGACATCTCTTTCCACAGCCACCTCTTCTTGGATGATTCCAGGGCGTTCCCTGGCCAACCAAGAGGCATAGTCTGTCCAGCGTGTCCTGGGTCTTCACCGAGGTCTCCTCCCTGTTGGACATGCCCAAAGCTCCTCCCTAGGGAGGCACCCAGGGAGCATATTTGCCAGATGCCTAAACCACCTCAACTGGCTCCTCTTGATGTGGAGTAGCAGCAGTTGTACTCGTGAGTCTCTCCCAGTTACCTGAACTTCTCACCCTATCTCTAGCTACGCTGTGGAGGAAAGTCATTTCAAACGCCTGTATCCACGTCCTTGTTCTTTTGAACACTACCCAGAGTATGTGGCAGTAGGTGAGGGTAGGAACGAAGACCGACTGGTAAAGAGAGAACTTTGTCTTACAGCTCAGCTCCTTTACTACAATGGACCAACACAGAGTCCGTAATACTGCAGATGCTGCACCAATCTGTCCGTCAGTCTCATGCTCCATTCTTCCTTCTCTCGTAAAGAAAACCCCAAGATACTTGAACTCCTCCACTTGAGGCAGAATGTCACCCTCGACCCAAAGAGAACAATCCACCCTTTTCCGAATGAGGACCATGGCCTCAGATTTGGAGATGCTGATTCTCATCTCAGCCACTTCACGCTCTTCTGCAAACTGCCCCATTGAGAGCTGAAGATCACGGCATGATGACAGCAACAAGACCACACCATCCGTAAATTGCAGAGATAGAGTCCTGAGGCCACCGAACTGGACTTGTTCCGCCCCCTCATTGCACCGAGGAATTCTGTCCATAAAAGTTATGAACAGAATCAGTGACAATGGCTAGCCCTGGCAGAGTCCAACTCACACCCTTAAGGGGTCCGACTTAATGCCGGCAATACGATTCAAACTCTCACATCAAATGTAAAGGGACTGAACAGCCTGTATCAACACACCCCTAGTCCCATACTTGCAGAGCAGCACCCACATTGTACCCCAAGGAACACGGTTGAATACCTTCTCCAAGTCCACAAAACACATGTAAACTGGATGGTCAAACTCCCATGACCCCTCGAGGACCCTAGTGAGGGCAAAGAGCTGATCCAGTGTTCCACAGCCAGGATGGAACCCACATTGTTCCTCCTGGATCTGAGGTTCAACTAACAGTCAGACTCGCTTTTCCAGTACCCCTGAATAGACCTTGCCAGGGAGGCTAAGGAGAGTGATGCCCCTATAATTGAAGCACACATTCTGGTCCCCTACTTTGAAGAGGGGAACCACCACCCCAGTCTGCCAATCCAGTGACACTGCCTCTGATGTCCCTACAATGTTGCTAAGGCATGTCATCCAAGACAGCCCCACAACTTCCAGAGCCTTAAGGAATTCAGAGCGGATCTCATCCACCCCTGGAGACCTGCCGCTGTGGAGCTTATTAACTACCTCGGCATCCTCAGCCATGGTCATGGACAGACCAACCCCTAAGTCCACCGACTCAGTTTCCTCCATTAAAGATATGTGAGTGGGATTGAGAAGGTTTGAGAAGTATTCCTTCCTCATCCTGATGGCATCACTGTTGAGGTAAACATAATCTCACCTTCACTGAATACCGTGTTAGTAAAGCACTGCTTTCCCCTCCTCAGCCACCTGATGGTTTGCCATAATCTCCTCAGAGCTGACCAAGGCCTATCCAAGGTCCAAATGTCCAAAGCAATTGGCCACAAATCAGATGACATAACTACAAAGTCAATCATCGATCTATGACCTAGTGCATCCTAGTGCCAAGTGCACTTATAGACACACTTGTGTTCAAACATGGTGTTCATGATGGACAAACCATGACTAGCACAGAAGTCCAACAACAGAACAAAACTCTGGTTCAGTTCAGAGAGGCCGTTCATCCCAGTGATGCCCCTCCAGGTCACATTGTCATTACCCTTGTGGGCATTGAAGCCCCCCAGCAGAATAAAGGAGTCCCCAGCTGGAATACCTTCTAGCACCCCCCCCCCCCTCCCCCCAAGTACTCCAAGAAGACTGGATAACTGCCATCTGGCGTGTAGGCACAAACAACTGGCAGAGCCCGTCCCTCCACCCGAAGGTGCAGGGAAGCTACCTTTTTATCTACCAGAGAAAACTCCAACACACAGGCACCAAGTCGGGGGGCTAAGAGTAGACCCACACCAGATCGGCACCTAACCATGGGCAACTCCAGATTGGAATAAGTTCCAGCCCCTCTCAAGGAGATTGGTTCCGGAGCTCACGCTCTGCATCAAGCTATGTCCAACTATATCAGCTGGTACCTGTCAACCTCACGCACAAGCTCAGACTCCTTCCCCTCCACAGAGGTTACCTTCCATGTCCCAAGACTGTTCGGTGCCTTGAGATGACTTCTGTTGTGACTTGGCAATATATAAATAAACTGAGTAGAAATTGAATTGAAGACCCAGCTTTGATAAGGCAGGGTCAGAGCGCCAAGGCCCCCACTTTTGGCCACTGGCATCATGCACCTAACCCGTATGACCCCTCCTGCAGGTGGTGAACATACAGGAAGGCAAATCCATGTTACTTGCTCGGGCTGAGCCTGACTGGGCCCCACGGGTTGAGACCTGGCCACCAGGCGCTCGCCGACAAGCCCGTCCCCCAGGTCTGGCTCCAGGGTGGGGTCATTCAGGTGCACAAACTCCACCACAAGGTGACAATTTAAGGGAGAGCTATAGGAATGTATGATGTGTAGACATCATATATTCTTATTTATAACCGCAACAACAATAATAATTCAAGTTCAAGTTTATTGTCTTTTGCATCACATGTACATGAGGTGGAACGAAACTGGGTACTCAGGGTCCCAGTTACACCCAAAAATAGCAAAACTATAAAGTATAAAAAAAACAATCTACAATGATCTAAGATATACACTAAGATATACGTTAAACGAACGCCAAACGGTACGCTAAAAGACCTAAGATACATGCTAAACACTAATAATGCAAAACAACACAGCATATCAACAGCAGCCTGAACATGAGTCTGTGGTGAGTAGATGGGCACGAATGAATACAGCAGCAATGAATGCAGCAATTATTATTATTGTTCTTGTTGTTTCCATTATTATTATTTTTATTGTTATTACTTTGTATTATTGTTCTTGTTGTTGCTTTTATTACAATATTTGTTTGTTTATTTAATTGATTTTAACATTGAAGAAGGTTGCTACTGTCACTTGAAACCGATATCTCCTGTAGCACTGAGAAGTCAGAAAGCCCTGTTTGCTTGATTATATTCTGCAAATGTTTTGTTTTGTTGAAGGTCACTGTATTGACTGCAGGACTTAAGTCATGGTGGATGGAGCCAACCTCCCACAAGCTGAGTGCTGCTGATTGATTGGTCAATAGATAAACACAGTAGTCCTGCAGAAGCCTGCCAGAGTCACATTCTGCAAGATGAATTGAGGCACAAGAAAGATGCAACACGGGTAGGTTGCTGATAACCCTTCTTGTCAAATAAATGATGAATAGCAAAAGCGTTTCTACACTGCAAAAACAAACATATTGCACACCAACCAGTAGACCTGGGTCAAACAATCATAACGTTACCTGGAAAGCTATGACAAACTTTCTGCAGCACAGCTCATAAAAATGAACTGATCACTATTCAGAAAAGATTTTTGAATAGATTTCCTTTTTTAGGTTTCAGATTTGCATTTTTGTCTTGTGTCAAATGAAACCAATACGATAAAGTGCCTTTTATCTTAAGGTACAGCTCTACCCAACAGTCAGCAGAAAAATGAGAAAGTCAATTGGAAATGAGAGGTAAGATTATGCCATCTAGTGGCTGCAGCCATTAATAAATCCTCATTGCAGCATCTGCACTTTGCTGTTTCAAGGTTGC